CTGCCCCTGCTGAGCGGGACCCTGCCCACCTGCTGGCCAGGACCCTGCCCACCTGCTGGCCGGACCCTGCCCACCTGCTGGCCGGGCCTGCCCCTGCTGGCCCCTGAGCTCCTCTAGCCCTGGCAGAGGTCAGGACAGCCCAGGCCCAGCAGGCAGGCACCCACTCTCCAAACGTCCCCACTCCAGCACCACAGAGCCAGGGGACATAGCTCTGCTCTACTCTACTTTTCTTAAAGGAGGAACTAAGAACTGGATCTTCCTGGTCCTGAAGGGGACCGGCCACTCCCAGGCGAGTGGGCAAAACGAAGGTCCTTCTTCAAAGAGCCTCAGGAAAGCAGCCCGTGCCCCTGAGCCCTGTCCCTGACACCCCCAGCCCCGGCCCTGACCCTGGAGGACCCAGGAGGCCCTGACTCTGCTGCGGGACTCGCTTGGGCCGTTACTAGCAGGTGAGTTCGCCCGTGGGTGCCGAAGCAAGCCACGAAAAGCTACTTTTAAAAAAAATATTCAAGGGGCACCTGGGGGGCTCAGTCAGTTAAGAGTCTGCTTTCAGGTCAGGACATGGTCCCGGGGTCCTGGGATCGAGCCCCGCATCGGGGTCCCTGTTTGGCAGGGAGCCTGCTTCTCCCTCTGCCTCTGCCGATCCCCCTGCTCGTGCTCTCTCCAATAAAAATCTTTTTAAAAAATTAAAGTAAAATACTAATATCCACTTTCTTGATTACAGAAAGAATACATGTTCATTAATGAAATTCTTAGAAATAAACAAGTAACAAAAAATTAAAAGCATCCATAGTGACCGCCAGCACCTAGAGCTGGATGGCCAGAGTGGCCTTTATCTTTGTCACGGGAGGGGTTCCCGGCCCCAGCAGGCAGGGAGCGGCTGGCCTCAGCTGTCCTCCCGCGGAGATGCATGGTCAGGAGTCACTCCAGCATGGGCCACAGCAGGCCGCGGACGGCCTCCCCTTCCAGGACGGGGGGCCCTGTGTCCCCAGCAGTGCCCCTGGGCCCCTCATCCCCTGTGACGGCTGACCCCAGGAGGAAGGGCTGCCCAGGGGCCCACACGGAAGCCTCACCCGGAGGGAGCCCGAGTCCCCGCATCCCTGCACACAGGGCCCCACGAACGAGAGACCGCAGACGCGGTCCCGGAGGCACAGTCCCCCCCACCCCCTTGCCTTCCCTTCCTGCCTCCAGCCCTGGGAGGATGGCATGGAAAGGGATCCCTGCCCTGTGTTCGGAAAAGCATTTGGAAACTGCCCATCTCCTTGAGGAAGGCCCCGTGCGGGCGTACTGCGGGCCATGAACAGACGTCCGAGGGAGGGGGGGCACCATGACTCCCCCTTCCACCACGCCAGGGAAAAAGCCCCTCTGTGGGCCAGTCCCCACCCCAGGGGAGTGGAGCCGGCCCGGGCGCTCCCCGACTCCAGCCTCGCCTGCAATCTGGGGCAGGACACTGCTCTGGGACCTGCTCGGGCTCCCAGCAGGGCTTGGCTGACCGTCGGCCCAGGCCAGGTGAGCCGAGACACCCGCAGGAGCACACGTGGGCCACGGGGGCAGGACGGGGACCAGGCGAGGCAGGGCTGGGGGGAGAAGAGGCCCGGAAGGGGTGAGGGCTGCACACCCACCTGGCGTCCGCCTCGCTATAGTACTCTCTGGCCACGATGTCCTCAAACAGCTCCCCGCCCGTGACCCTGCAGGAGAAGCACAGGTCACAGACTCTGGAGACCCCACAGCCTCGTCACGTCCACCACTGTGCTCACCGTGGACAACATCACCTCCTCCATCACCTCCTCCTCCTCCTCCTCCA